AGTTAATCAAACTTAATTAATGTCAAACTGTAACCCGTTTTGGGAGCAGACCTTCAGTGATGTTTGACTGTGAATAAGCTGAGAGGAAGTGATTAAGCTCACCAGGAAGGGCAGCTCTGTCCTGGGATGTCCCTCGACCCAGTGCAGGTGGTGAGAGACAAAGTCTGGCTAAAATAACATCACTGACAGACAATGAATCCCACCACATGCATGAAACTGTTGCTAAGCTGGAGAGCTCCTAAAGGGTGTTTTCACATCTGATAGTCCCGTAGACTCGGTTGTATTGAGGTCCAAAATTTTTAGATGGTGCAGTTCACTTTCATATTGCAATGTGATAAACAAATCAAAGTAATTGAAAAACCTGTTCTCCTCCTCACCTGTGGTGGTGCTGCACCATGAACCACTGAAAGAAATAACATGAAAACCTCAGAAGAAGACATGAGCGCAACTTTCTTTTTCACAAAATGTAAACAGAAGTTTAGTAGTGTCAGATAATGTGGTTGGAGGATTTTTGTGCCTAGTGAAAGACCACAAGCCATTTCTCCCACTAGCCTTGGACACACACATTTGTTTTGGTTGTATTTACCTAGAATGCTCTGTGCTATAGTTCGCTTCCTGCTTTTGTACTTGTCTCTGGTACAGTTGGGATTCACAAATACGTTTGAACAGTGCAAGAGTTCACGTCAACCGGACTGAGACCAAGGTTTTAGACGGTCCAAAGTTTGCGTCAGAATTTAAGTGCACATTCACACCTCCCCAAAAGAACCGGACTTTCTAGACAAAAACACTAGAGTCCAATTAAAGTGGATTAAACAGCTGCTGGTGTGAATCCACCCTTAGTGACAGACTGCTGCATCTGAAGAGCACACGCAAGTTTTCACAGATCCTTCCTCCCAGCAGCTAATAGACTCTGAATATCACTGCTCCCAACAAACTAAATGAGTGTTTACATGCCTACTATTATTTGCACTTTTATTATTTCTTATAGTCAGTTTTTATAAGCACAAATATACATGCACATTTTTTAATGAATGACCCTATTCAATTGTGCATTTCTTTTAATCTGAGTTTGTGTTTTTTAAATAAATGTAGTTTTTCTTATGCTGTTAATTTGCCATTACTGTAGTTTTATTTTTAATTTAATCTTTGTGAATACACATGCTTCTATCTGCATTTTGAACCTTAATTCCCTGACCGAGGGCATTCTTTTTTTTTTTTTATTCCATACAGAAAAAACATAACTGAAGTTCGCCTGCATGCATTAATTGTCATAGAATAATTTCATTTTGACTCATTTTCTTTGTTCAATTAGTCCAAACAAAAGAGCAGAAAAGAAGCATTCCTTTCTAGCCCATTTATAAACTATAAAAGGTACAGACACACAGTTACACCCTTTTATTCTACAGACTCACAAGCAAACCCGAATGACAAGATTCTAGGTTTTATAACTTGATCAAATGCAATAAAAAGCTTTAGAGGCATAATAAAAGACATAAAAATCTTTCATAAATAAATCAAACATCTCCTTTAGGATAAACATACAAATATCTGCACCAGCTTTATATTTAAACCAATGCTAGTTATCAAAGGTTAAGACAAAACATTACATCCTTTCTAATAAAAAAAATTAAAAACAAGCCAAGGTTAGTGGCTGATCGTCATCCCTGCTATTTATTTTGCCAACTTTGTCTTTTAAAAGGTATATAAAACCACATCATGAACTCTTTGTTGAGTAACGATGACATCTTCATCGATTATATTCAATACAAAGACACTTCTAATACAATTACAATAAGTAACTCTTGCTTTCAGTTAAATTAAAAATTATTCAAATCCCTGGCAGATTTAGATTTTACATAGTCTTTTAATTTTACGCAAAAAACTAGTTCATCACAGCAAAAATGAAGTTCATCACAAAAAGCTGGAATAACAGTGGAAACTTGCAAAAAGTGGCTCAGACATAAAACGTCTGATTGTTGTATTGGCTGCTATATTAAGTTTGAAAGGGTATGCATTTTCAACATATTTTTTCTTTTTAAAAATTATTTGGAATTTAAATCTGCTTGGGGTATAGAGAATTTTGGTGTCAGCTGTATATTGGGAATTGTTTCCTTTACATTTGAATCAGTGTTAAGTGTCACTTTAGTGGGATCTGAGTCTCTTTTAACACACTGAATCTTTCTCACCTTCAGAGGCATGAAGGTGATTGAGAACAGAGCCATGAAAGACGAGGAGAAGATGGAGATCCAGGAGCTGCAGCTCAAAGAGGCCAAACACATCGCAGAGGAAGCTGACCGCAAATATGAGGAGGTGCGTGCTCAAACATGAGCTCTTCCCTGACGTTTTAACAAGCAGATGCAATCTGATTTATCCTCCTGCCTTTCTCTTGTTTTCTTTCTTTTTAATAACAGGTGGCTCGCAAACTGGTGATTCTCGAGGGTGACCTGGAGAGGGCAGAGGAGAGGGCAGAACTTGCTGAACTGTAAGCTCAAGTGGAACGTATAAAATGTTCAGCTGTAGTTGCTAAAATGCTTTTGCAAAACAAATTAACCTAAATGTTTTACTGTGCTCCTGCAGAAAGTGTAGTGATTTGGAGGAAGAGCTTAAAAACGTCACCAACAACCTCAAGTCTCTAGAGGCTCAGTCTGATAAGGTAACAGAATATACACCTGCTGCTGCTAAACACTTTTAGAAAATACGCATATTTAACGATAAGCTAATTTAGCAATAGGAATATACAGACTCAAAAGAGGCAGATTGCTGAAAGGAGGCTTCTGAGTAATATTGTTCTCTATTCAGCTAAGTCACTCACAATAAAGCTATAAAAGGAAAAGTAAAAAGTACGAGAAATAAACGTACTTCTGAAAGTAGATTTTTTTTCCAAAGTGTTACTCAATAAAACATAACTATTAACTAATATTTATATTATTTATTTCACAAATATCACTTAAAATCCCAATAAAATTTGAAAAAGTGAATGGGTATGAATGCTTTTGCAAACTAAAACTGATGTTCTAACAAACACAGCTACGTTTTAGCAGCTGACTGGTTAATTTCGTCCTTCTCTGTGCAGTACTCTGAGAAAGAAGACAAATACGAAGAGGAGATTAAAATCCTGAATGACAGACTCAAGGAGGTATATTCGTGTCTTTCTTTCAGCTGTCTGTATATTTGGAGGCTGCGTGAGGATGACTAATATTTATTCTGGGTTTTGTTTTCAAAAGGCGGAAACCCGTGCAGAATTTGCAGAAAGGACGGTGTCAAAGCTCGAAAAGACCATAGACAACCTAGAAGGTACACTTTGTTTCTCTCCCACTCTTTGCTTTCCTTTTTTTACTGAGCCCTTTTGTAAATCTTTAGTTAATAATTAATCTGCTCTTTCACTTCTCTTTTTCCTCCACCTGGCCCGCATTCGGCTCTGAACCTCCTCACCCTCTGCTTTCTTCTCTGCCATTCCCACTTGCAGACGAGTTGTACACTCAGAAACTGAAATACAAGGCTATCAGCGAGGAGCTGGATCATGCCCTCAATGATATGAACACCTTGTGAAGCTGCCGCTTTACTTCTGTTGTTTCCTCATGTTTTGCACTTTTTCTTTCCTCTGTCTGCTCCTTTCACACGTTGCATCAAACTGAAAAACAATAAAGACATTTTTTTTCTTCTACTCCCTTCTTTACTTATAATTTCAGTTTTCCAGACAGTATAATTATGTTCCTGAAAGCCGGGATGCTTATGTCATTACGCCGCTACCTTTTCTGTTGCAGAGAACCTGTCGAAGGCAAAGGAGGAAAACCTAGGAATGCACCAGGTTCTGGACCAAACACTGCATGAGCTCAACAGCTTGTAAAAACAAAAACAAACAACAAGAACAACAAAAAAAAAAAAAATCAAACAAAAAAAAAAAAAGAACGAACAGCAATGGAAAACAAAAACACCTTTTTTTGTAAAAGAATATTTTCTACATGCCATCCATCTTTGTCATTCCACGTCTCGTCTGTGACTTTTTAACACATGTAGCCAATTTATGTATTTATGGTTCCTTTTTTTCTTTTACTTTTTTAATTAATGGTTTTGGGTCCAAACGATCTCAGTATTGGTGCTGGAAATTGTGTTCTGGACCAAAATCTGACAACAAATAAAGCCCGTGATGTCAGTTTCCATGCAGCTTCTGATTAGCCTTCTGCTCTTTTTGGCACCCATGTTAAAGAAAATTGTAAAATTACATCAATTTTCTATTGCTGCTGATTAATCTCACTCTGTAAAACGTAAAAAAAGAAGAAAAAAAACTTTAATTTTAGAACATTTATTTGATGTGAAAAAAAATCCCATATTATTGGCAGCCATAAGATTTCATATGAAATAAATACAACTGGAAACATATTTGATTCACACTTCTTTAAGTTGATCATTGTCTATAACCCTGGATTTTCCCTGGGTTATAGACATAAAAATTATATTATGCACTCTTCAACATGGGAAAGAGAAACACATATGCTATTCTGGTGATTATATAAATGGACTTCTATGCAGCAGGAGGCCTAAGATTCCCTATATGTGAGACTAGAGTGAACACAACACATCATAACCTCCACCATCACACCATCCCCACTGTGGAGGTAGAAGCATCATGTGGGGAATGCGTCTCTATCGCAGAAATATGATTTTACTAGATTAGACTAGATTTTATTATTACACAGACTCAAAGTCCAAATATACATAAAAAGAAAAGAAAAACATGGATGCGGGTCAGAGAGGATGAGTACTTACCTAAACTTTCTTACAAAATGGACACCTGCCTATTTGCTGTTCAGTGTTGACGGGTTTTTCTGGCAAGTACGCGGCTGTTTCATTTCATGGCGTAATGCTACTCGATACGCTATTGGCTGGCGTGTGCAAAGCAGCCAATCCAGGAGCGCCTTTTATTCTCCGTGATAACGATTGGCTAATTCCGCGAGACCATAGCCGTTAACTTGTGTGGTTGCGCTAAAACGGTTTCAACTGTTTCATTCATGTTGTTAAAAATAGGCAGTTTACGTATTTTTAAGATGGGCGCTCAAGGAAATACTAGCGTCCATTGTATCGAAAGTCAGAAATTGTGACATGGGGTTTAAATCTCAAAAGTTTAATGTTAGCTGCACCGGCTACGTCGGCTCACTACGTCTCCAAAGCAAACGTCGTCAGGCGCTAGCTCACTGGGGTTGCTGTCATTAACAAGATGAATATTTGGGGAAAATACATTCCCATTCTAAGGTATGTTGGAAGATGCTGCAGAGTTGTTACTCCTCCAGAGATGTTAGAAACTTGAAAATGGCTTGTCATTGGCTCTTTCTAGGGGATAATAATCCACAACGTTTGCGGAAAATCAACATAAAAATGAGCAGAGAGAAAAAGAGATGGCACAGGAGTCTGGATGGATATGCAGAGAGGAGTGGCCAAAGGTATTTCTCTTTTTGCTCCAACCAACACAGTGAAGTGTTACAAGGACAACAGCAGTCGTGATTGCAAAAGAGCCTTGTGCAATAAATTAACAACTTGGGTGTGGAGGTTGCTGGAAGAGTTGGTTTCCTGGAGGCAATTTCAGCACTCACTTTTAAAGATTAGTAGAAAAGGGGCAAGCGCAAACATGCTTTAGTTTCATTTTGCTGCATGAAATCAGTGAATTTGTTTTCCCAAACATTTCCATATCCAAAGAATCAGCAAACTCTGATCTTATCATGGGAAAAACACCATGTCATTGGCAGTTCAACCTTTTTAAATCACTCAGATTGCACAAAACTCAATCTCACTTCGTATTGTTGAGGAAAAGGAATCTCGAGACTTTCTAAATACTGATTTAGTGTCGGTTCTCTGTGACACAGAGCACCATAATTTAAATGCAATTACTTCAATATAAATTTTTAAAGTGATGCGTTTAATGAGAAATATTTTCCAAAGACAAGTCTCCACATGTCAAATGAAGTGCTGCAAAAACAAACAAGATACAACATCTTTGCAGCTATGTGCTGACTCCCGGGCAGTGGCGGAGCTAGACTTTTTTTCAAGGGGTGGCCAAAGGGTGAGCAAGGCTTTATCAGAGGGGTCCATATACAAATGGACCGTTCCATGGAACGAAAGGAAAAAATATTTGTTTCCTTTCGTTCAAAATTAATTAATATAACTAGTGAGGTTAAATTCAAAGCTTTCATATGACATAGCCTACTTACATTTCAGTCATTATAAAACTTAATGGTTTTTCACATATTCTTACCACACACATTTCAAGCAAGAGCTGGGAGATAGAAAACATTACAGGGCAGCATGTGCACTAAAACATATGTTAAAAGAATCTGTCTAAAACACGATCTATCAGCACTAGCATGGCTAATATAATAAACGAGGCACTATGCAGTGGTGGACAACCATTTTTTTCTTTTTAGAAATGTATGACAAGTGCCGCCTCTCATTAGGAAGGTAACAGCGGTTACCGCTGAGCGGTAAAATGTTGTAAATACCTGCAAAACTCCTCGACGGTGTAACTCTAAAGCCCCGGATGTGTTTTGGATCCAGCAGGATCCACATGTCAGTTTAACCAATGAACAGCATCGGGCTGCCTTCAGGGACAATCGGAAATTACAGTTTTCCTGGCAAATCTTTGCCGATCTCATAAGTATTATATTTTAAAATTACCATTTCCAGTGGGGTGGCAGTAGGGGTGGACAGGGGTGTGTTGGGGGTGGCAAGTGCCACCCCGGCCACCCCTCTGGCTCCGCCACTGCTCCCGGGGGTCAGAACTGAAGCTGCATCCTCCTTCCTGTAGATTACAGTGAAATCATAAGCGTTAAGCTCCAAATACTAAATAACATAAACGTAAGAGTCTGACACAAATGTCTTTTATTAATTCAGCTAAGAAATATAATTTAAAAAAAGATACATAAGTGAATTACTTCAGAAAGATTTATTCAATTGTAAGCATCAACGTTGCAGTAGTAAAATTTAAGAATTCAAAATGTAAATATTAATGAATGTTACAATTTAAGACAATTTCAAGATATATAAACACATTGGATAACTTTTAAAAAAACAAACAAATTCCACAGCAGGACTTGTTATGCTGAGAACTTCGAATTCAGGTCGAAGTCGAGGGATGTGGTATGAAAAAAGTCAAAATGTGAAAACAATCAATTTATCAATACATTTTCTTTTGTAATTATCAGATTCACAAAATATTGATTCAATTTAGATCATTTTGTGTGTAAATTATATGAATTAGTAGGAAGTACACATGTATGTAAGAGGAATAAAATGAGACTTCAAATTTTGCTGAAACAAAACACGTGGCTAATAACACGTCCCGCATTTCCGGGTTAACTTCCCGTCTACTGGCGCTAAAAACACCTGTAAGTGAATTCCGGACCAGCAGGGGGCGTCGTGTCATTTTTTTGTGCTTTGCATCTTCGCCGGGCGGGATTTCCGTAATAATATCAAGTATGGCGAAAACATACGACTATTTGTTTAAATTACTGCTAATCGGGGACTCTGGTGTCGGGAAGACCTGTGTCCTCTTCAGGTTTTCAGAAGACGCCTTCAACTCAACGTTTATCTCAACAATAGGTGCGTTTTGCGGGGGGCATTTTGGTGTGTTTTGTGTGTTTACACTACGTAGAGGGACTGGCTCTCCGGATACGTCTATTTGCTGGAATGCTTGTAATGCTATATATGGGAATGACACATTGTCTTTGCTAGTAAATGTAAATTTTTGTGCCGACATTAGGTAACATGATCCCTCAAATAACCGTGGCATAGAAAAGCTGTTAAAATTTTATGTATAGCTTATTTAGAACTAATTTGATATAACATTTATTATGTGTAAGCCCAAGTGTTAACCGTTAGACCCGACTATGTTCCGGAGAGACACCGGAAAAGCTGATGTGTTGCACGTTAAACGCTTTTGTTTAATTTCTTTTTTTAAATAAGTGTTATCTCCTTTTATATGGTGTGCTGTTTTTTGTTGTGTAAATGGTTTGCTTAATTTTTTGTGGGGGCTTATTGCATCTTAAAAGGTATCGTTGTGATTGGAATGCTAGTTTCCGTTTATCTTCCTGCAGGTATTGATTTCAAGATTAGGACAATAGAGCTTGATGGCAAGAAGATAAAGTTACAGATATGGTAAGGGCACTTCAAAAACCGGTGCACTGTTTTGTTGCCACACTACAAAAGTTTTCACGCCCCTTGAATCCTTCTACATTTGATCACTTTTCCAAATACAAGCTTCTGTTTATTTTGTTGGGATTTTCAGCGTCAGTAACGCTTTTCTGACATCACTGTTTATACTTCAGTGTTTGTAGTACTATAAAACATTTTAGTACAAGTCAAAATATTCCTGATGAATCTAAACTGCTTCAGAAAATGAAAACTTGCTCGAAGATTGTAGGGCACCCCAGTCCCAAAGCTGCATGAAACATCTTACTGTAATAGTGTAAAGTTGACCCTGACCATGCTCTGAACCAGGAATGCAGACTGTTGCTATCAGGTTGAAGATAAAAGGATCCACGGTTTCATAAGGTTCAACTGAGAAATGCTTCTGCACACAAATAAATCCTGAAGCAAAACATGGAAGTTTAACTAGCGTTGAATGCTATCGTCTTACAATATAAACGTCTATATTCTGTTTGTATATGAATGTAAATAATGGTGCTGTGATGCAGGACACATTGCAGATTTGTTCTAACAATACACAAGTATTGTAACATGTTTTATGTGATTGGGGGGGGGGGGATCAGTAAGTAGTGTTTGACTGAAGTTGAGTGAAAATTAGAAATAGTTTCAAAATTCTTTAAATAATAAAAATCTCTTCAGTTTTGTGTGTTTTTCTGTTCGTCTTCTTCAGCCTGCTACTCCTAAATAAAACACATAGCAACTTATTACCTTCAAAACTTGTAAATAGACTCCACCTGAGAATAATTTAAAGACGGATTCTTTTTTTTTTTTGTGAAGCCACGCAAGCTCCAGTTACCATGCAAGCAGTGCAACACCGGCTGTAATATAATAATATATGGAAGCTTCTGGTTCTACATTGTTTAAGTGGTTTGAATACTTTTGCATGTCACAGCTCATTTTGTCTTTGCTGTACGTTGTATTTCTGTAAAACCCAAGTGAAAAAATAAATATCACCCTTGTAATATAGAAGAAAACAAAACATGAGAGAATTATTCAGGTCTATCAAATCCTATTTACATTTATAGGAAACCAGGAAGAGGAAATTTTATGGGTGATATGCGTTCAACCATGTAGTGGATTTTTTTTTTTTAACTAAAACTCATGTCTATGACTTGCTGCTGCTGAAAAGAAAATCAAACTTTTAAATCTGATCCTAAAGATAGAAATTTCCTTTTTCTTATTGAAATTGATGTATTTGGCTCCTGCAGGGACACAGCTGGTCAGGAACGTTTCAGAACAATCACAACAGCCTACTACAGAGGAGCAATGGTGGGTAGCCTCACATGCTACTAGTTTCTGTTTCTAAAGCACTAAAAAGTTCTTGAGTTGTATTTATAGCAACATTTTTCATGTACTGCTCTTTGCAGGGGATCATGCTTGTCTATGACATCACAAATGAGAAATCATTTGACAATATCAAGAACTGGATAAGGAACATAGAGGAAGTACGTACCGCTTCAAATTTATTCTCGCCGACACGTTTGCGTCTCCATTTTAAAATGTTTCCTTTTCCTCTGTTAACGTAGCATGCGTCATCTGATGTCGAGAAGATGGTTCTTGGCAATAAATGCGACATCAATGACAAGAGGCAGGTTTCCAAAGATAAAGGAGAGAAGGTGAGAATCTCGGTCAAATATAGATGGAAGGTTATTTATTAATAATATTGTAATGCATATGATAGCAAGTTCAACAAAAGCGTAATTTGGGAAAATGTATTTTTTCTTTCAGCTTGCACTAGAGTATGGGATCAAGTTCATGGAGACCAGTGCAAAGGCCAACATCAATGTGGAAAATGTAAACTGCTATTATCTAAAACTCTTTTCACATATGTACTTGTTTTGTTTACTTTGTTAGCAATGTCTGTATGATTACCTTACGAACAATTCCAAATGTGTCAGAAATATGCAAAATGTGTCTGTATGTCAGATAAAGCCATAGAGATATTTCAGGATGTTGGTCAGAGAATTAGGGGGTTTACTCCTGATGACTTTCAACTAAAAGTTGTCCACTTGTATTATTGGTGAGACATTTAAGACTAAAGCAAGAGAAAGCACAGAGATGCAAGGTCTTTGAAAGGAAACTGGATTTCTACATGTCTGGAGTTCATTTAGGCTGTGAGAAAGTGAGAGAAAGCAAGACTACAACAAATAAGAGGAAGGCTGAATGTGTCATAACAAAGTTGCTCTATTTTTTCCTTTTAATTTTAAGGTATGTAATGAAACAAATATAAGACGCTATCAGTGTTTCTCAGTTCCAGTCCTCAGGCCCCCCTGCTTTGCATGTTTTAGGTGTTCCCCTTCTGCCACACATGTGGATTGAATCTGTGGGTGATTAACAGGCTTCTGCAGTTCTTGATGACTGCGGAAGTGGTCATGCAATCATTGTGATGAACTGTTCACATCTAACATGCAGAGCAGGGGGTCCTGAGGACTGGAATTGAGAAGCACTGTGCTAAACCAAAGTGCTTTATTAGGAGGCAATGGGACACTTCTGATCAATTGTTGGAGTTAAACGTTATAAGATTGTCATGGATGATGATCAACATATAACCTTAATCTTATTATTTGACATAAAATATCAATAAAAGGATGATTTAAAATTGACCCAGTACTGTTAAAACATGTACAACATTTAAGTACTTTTTATTGTTTTACATTCATTTGATATTTTTTTATTTTCTCTTTATTAAGAATATTTTCTAATGTTTCTTTAGTGTTAAAGTCCTGAAATTTCCCATTTTCATTTCAGACACTTTGGACTCATAACTAAAGCATTATTTACTTACCTTAACATTTTTTGGATTCACAGGCATTTTTGACTCTTGCCAGAGACATCAAATCAAAGATGGACTCAAAAATGGTAAGAAGCCATTTCATTCATACATTCCTTAAACAGTATTTTTTTTTTTAGTCTTTATATGAGTTTATATTTTCTCAAATTACAATCACAAACTTCACAGCGTGTGCTGCTGGTGAGCAGTTTTACTATTCTTTCTTAGTCAATATTTTGGATAGTTTAAAGTCTCCCTGCTCCAAATTTTATAGAAACCATTCATAAACAACAGTTTCACATTCTAATCACAGATTTTCAATTGCATTTGGGTCTAGACTTTGACTAGGCCCCTATGATCAGTTATGGACTTTGGTCTAAACCCTTTAGTTGGAGCTTTGGTTTTATGTTTACGGTTGTTTTTCTACTAGAGAATGAACCTCCGCTGCAATATCAAGTGTTTTTCAGTTTGTGTTTGTTAAGTCATAAAATGATACCCACTGATTTCCATTTGCATGATTTAGCTCTTTTCTCTCTTTTTATCAAAAACTGTTTGACAAAAATCTTCAGCCAGGTTCAATGTTACAGACATTTCATAATTAATTTTATCTGTTATTTCTGTTGTTTTGTTTATTTATTTTTGGATATTTAATATGTCTTCCAATTTCATCAATTGGAATCAATTGAGTTCTATTAAAACTGTTCTATAGAATTGCTATTCTATTGAACAGTGTGCCATTACCACTATTGCTTAACATTATTGTTTTGAGACCATTTTCATCATTTATCGCAATACATTCTGGGACATTTGATCATCTTAACAAAATTTGTTAATGTGACAAAACTACTTGTTCAACTTTTTTTTTTTAAATTGATGTTTTTGTGATTTGCTGCAGGAAGGTAACGCCCCTCAGGGCAGCAATCATGGAGTCAAGATCTCCGAGCCACAGAAAAAGACCAGTTTCTTCCGCTGCAGCTTGCTCTGAGAACCAAAGCCTTCCATGCTGGCTACAGGCCGGCTGGACACAACTTGACTGTGCTCTCTCAGCACTTCCTCCTCTCTTTTTTTTCTTTTTTTTTTTTTTTTTTTTTTTTTGCTTATTCTACCCAACCATGGCCTCTCCCGGTTCTCCCGGTTTTGCAAAAACCACTATTGTCATAAAGTGGAGGACTTCCCCTCCACTCTTCCTTTTCTGAAGGCTTCCAGAGGTGCGTCACTTCCATTATTAGTGGAAAACTTGTCTTTACTTTTCAAGAAGTTTTAACTGACGAAGGACTCATCACTGATGTGTTTTCTGTTACAAAATCGGGGGCTTCTTGTATTTCTCTCAGTCAGTAGCACAGCCAGCGACAGAAGATACTTGCCTCATTATAATATTTTTTAATTGGAAATCAAATGTGGTATTTTGGTCCACCTTTAATGGCACCCTTTAGGTGTTTGTGTTACATGTTGCCGAGCAGAGGCTGATGGTTCTGAACTTCAGTGAAACACAGTTGCACTTTTTTCATATCAGCAGCTGAAGTCATATCAAGGCATATAAAGTCCATTCGAAATTATTCAGAAAGTTTTGTTTTTATCTGTTCTTATTTGTTGTTCTCGACAATCATCCGATGAGACTGAAAATGTCTTGATCACTGCCTCCAAACTATTTTTGCAGTAGCATTCGAGTGTAGGTAAAATATCATCCTTTGTTTTCTCAGTCCTCCTGTCCAAGTTTAACTTAAAAAAAATAAGAGGTGGCATATTTTTGTAAACGGGTCTTTAAAGTGGCAACTTGTATTCCTAGTAGAGATGGACTATGAGGCTTTTCCTGTTAGAAAAAAAAAACTTTTCTTTATGCTAATTTCTTTCTATGAAGGCATAAAAAGGTCAAATGGTTCCTTGATAAATAGTTGCTGTTTCAATTCTAGCAGAAAATGAAGGACTTATGAGATTATCCCCATCAAAGCATAAGCCACAAACCGTCTGTTGAGTTTTGTTAAATTGAAAATGAATTGTATTGAAGCATATGCCATACACTGAAAACAGTGAGATTTCACATTTCAAATTGGCTTATTCCAGGGCTTGTCAGATTGCTTGTTGTGTTTATATATCGTTAAATGTTTGGAAATAACCGAAGAGGTCAAGAGTAATAAACTATTATATGATAAATAAACATTCGGTTTTTCAGATTGGGTTGCGTTATCATCTGTGTTTGAAAGCCACACAGGCATGTGGGCCGGAGGTTTACCCAAAACCAAGTGTTTTCAGAAACTCTTTAAGATTAAGCCCTAAAGTGTTCTCAATCACAACAGACTGATTCTGAGGTCCAAAATTTAGAAACCAGATTTACTTCTTACCTCCACAAGTTAAATCTGCCTATATTAAAATGTGTCTCTATAGTGGTAGCTGTAGCTGGTTGAAGGATGGATTGCTGTGCATATACATGGAAAAATTAAGTATTTAAATTTGTAGAAATACCCTTAGTTTTTAAAAACAAATAACATAAATAGAGTATTTATTCATTAGGTTTTCTATGAGATGGATAGATATTAACCCTTTATTTACTTCCTGTTTGGAATCAGAGGTTTATGCTTCCTTTGTCCTCAGATGTTAAAACTCATATTCTACAAAAAATCTGGAGATGTGTTGAACATTTGCATTAGTTTTTTAGCAATTTTCCCAAAGTTTATGAAACAGACGTAGAGCATGAGACATTCTCCACCGTGCTTAACAGTGGGCATCAGGTGCTTTTCAATGTATTCCCTTTTCACCCAGGCAAAAGCGTTGTATTATATTTTAGTATTTTCCAGATGTGGATAATATAAGGGAAGCTTTAATTCCTACCACATGTTTTAAAACTGCTGTCTGTCCAGCTGGTTGCCCATGCAAACACTTCTTCCATATATGTATGCATGACTGCAGTAGCAATGGCTGCTGCTAATTCATAGTGAACAGAAATGGAGGCCTAAACTGACAAATAAGTCTGGGAAATTGGGGATTTTTGGCATGAAAAATGTGTGGAAAGTCTAATCAGTCCGATTGAAACACAGTTCCAGCTAAAGTGTAGAGTTGAGCTGGGTGATTAATCTATTTTTTTTTTACTTAATTCAGTTCTTGGTTTTTGAAAATGTGTAATTTTTTTTGTTTCATCACTCTATGGTTCAGAGTGATGTCACCATGCCCAAGGCCGCCATTTTGTTTGGCACGTGTTTTACAGCTACTGTTTGTTTTGACGTTGAATTCAGGTCAACTCTACGTCAAAGTATTAGGGCCAGGAAGAGAATAAAACCGTAGTATCACAAGAATAATATAGTACGACAATGTAGTCAGAATGGTATGAGAATAATATTACCAGAATAAAGTCGTAACATTTGATAGAATTTTTTGAGACCTCTTACCCAAAAATGAATAGTTAAAATGAGGAATTTTGATCAAACTGTAAAGTTTTTTTGTACCAGTTTTTCAAATAAGGATATGCTAAATCTGTTAGCATTTTGAAATAACTGTGCAAAGGAATGTTCATTTTGAAGAAAGAGCCACACAAACAGCTGATCACGTCAAATCTTGATGACTATATTAAATTCTGGTGAAAAAGTTTTATTCTTCTAATATTACGACTATATTTTTGTAATTAAGCTAAAAAATTTCATAGCCCTCCCATAATATTATGTTGTATAACTCACAGAAGAGATGACTGAAATAAAATCAGTTATTTTTAATGACTGATTTTATTTCAAAAGTCAGTAAAAAATTATAAATACTTTTTAAAATATTTGTAATTTATTTTTTTTAATCTTTTATTATTATTATTTTTTAGAAAATACAGGAAGAAAGTTAAATTAGAAAATTGGATCCGGCATGAAAAAACAAACTTCATATCTTCCGGACTGAGACGCAGTTACCATGTAGACGGTGAACAAAATATGCCGATCTCTCACCGGAAAAATCGTTTCTCGATAACATTCGAGCTCAAATGACGCCTCTGGTCATGAACTGCAGGTTCCCTTCGAGCCCTCCCAGCACTTTACCATTACGTCGTGTTTTTCTCCGTGCCAAGCGATGGCTTCGTTTTATAACAACCAGATGTTGATCTGTCGAGTCTGTGAAACCAAAATCCAACAGCACCAAGTGATCCAGCATCCTCCAACTGTAATCTGTCACCTTGAAGCGTCTGCTTCCTTGTAATTTCTGCAAACTGATGTAAATCCAGTATGTAGGCATAGATTAGAAGAGTTTTAAGCTAAAGCCTGCCACTTTGTTCTTTAAAAGTTTGTGCTCTGCTGACGTCAAAGCAGGCTTGAATTAAGCTCTTATCAGGTGTTTTCCACATTTAGTTTTGATGCTTGATAGCTAGGTGGCGCTGGAGAATCAGTGAGCCTCTCTTAGCTAAACCACTTAAACACAAATTTGATTCAGTATTTACATATATTCAGAAGAAAAAAAAAAAGGCCAGAGTTAATTGAAATGCATTTCTCCTGCTTACCTCATGTTGGCATTCTTATGATAGTCGTTTTTCTGGAAACTCCACAGCGTTCAGAAAGGTTTGGGTTTTTTATGGTTTGGTTGTAGCTTCTTTTTCTGTTGTTTTTTCTTTAAGTATCAAAGAAAGATTTGGGACCTCGTGATTACTAGGACCATTTGTCTTAACCGTCAGATCTCATAGCTGAGCTATGCATTGTGAATCTTGGACCTTTGTACATCATAAACCCTTACAGATGAATTTATTTGCTTTGTTACATTTAATGTGTTTTTTTTGTCACTCACTGAGCCAGAAACAGGTCAGGCTTATTTAAAAACTGCATGTTAACCTAAACTTTAGCTGCAATTATTTTTGACAGATTTATTTTGTTGTTGTTTTTTTTTATTACTTTTTCTTAAAATCCCATCATATGTTGTAATAAAGCAAACACACATTTTTAGCAGCCATATTTTCATTCTGTCTGTTGGGAAATTCACAGGGAAAAGTTTAGAGGGGTTGGGGGGGGAAATATATAAATATCATTGAACATTGAAAAATAAATATATAAACTGTACTGTACTTTCTAAACCCATATGAAATGTGTACTTTTGATTTAATAAAAAGGATCTAAAAATGGTTTGCCTTCTTTCAGTGTTTTCGTTGGCCGAGGCGACCAGGAGCTGCTGGAGCTGCTTTCTGGACAAACGGCTCCCTTCGTCTCTACTGGCTCCACTGGGAGCCACTGGAATATTCTGCTCCTCTATATCCAGTGTAACCAAAACCCCTTCAGATACAAAACAAATCCATGGTTGATGGTCATAATTAGCGATGCCTGTCCTGATGGGTTAGCTGGGCTTCCATGACGTGGGTTCAAAACAAAAAGTAGAAGTTATTTTCTGAAGATTGATTTGTGAAGCTCTGTAGTATTTTCAGTCCATCCTTTTGGGCTTTTGCAAGCGTGAAATTAGTTGGCGGTTTTCTCAGATCCGTATGTGAAAGGTGCTGTGGAGCAAAATAAAAGCCGATTTTTAGATGCGATATTCATGTTTTGTCACGCAACAGTCAGAAAGTTCACACATTTTACTGGGATTGTATTTGATAAACACAACTTTGCCTGTCCAAGAAAAAAAAAACCACAAATCTTACCAAGTAATTCCAGTCTTGTTTCTCATGCAAATATCTTCAGTGTATTATAAGCCTGGTGGGGCACCAGGCTTTACTTACCTGAGGAAATCTGGAGCTCTGTTAATCATGTGCTGAAAATCCTCAAGCGATAGACGTCCGTCGTTGTCCAGATCTACCTCATCGATCACTTTCTCGCACACCATCTTCACCTCGTCCTCCGTTAGCTCGTTACGGGTCAGCTTGTTCAGCGTCTTCTCCAGGTCCGACTTGCAGATGAAGTCGTCGTCGTTGAAATCTGTTGGAAAAGCAAAAGTACAACAAAGATCTTACCTAACGTTTAGTTGTGTGTGTTAAATGTGATCACTGCGTTTCAATGTCTTCGGCGCTCAGTTGCCTCAAAAAACAGCTTATTTAAAAACAAAAAACGCACTGCCATTTTTTTTTTTTTTTCTCGTTTGCGTTCTGGAAACTGAGCAGGCACTCTAGATCAGTTGGTTTGTATGAAAGATGTTTTTGAATAATGTGATCAATCAACCCTTGTGATTAATCTACTGCTATCTAGTATCGTATTGGATAAATAAAAACCACAGTAATTTATTTATGCATTGACATCAATGCTGCTGCAGTCATGTAAATTACCACCAGTAAAAGGAGAAAACGCACCACATTTGAACATGAAGTTCACCCCGTGAAGGTTTACCGTATATTTTGAAGGCATAGTAGGCCTTTAGGTCACGAGGCGCCATCTCACTGAGCACTGAGAACATGTCCAAGAAGTCGTCCAACGTCATGTTTCCCTCTCCATCCTCAGAGAAAACCTCAGCGATCCTTTGACGAAATGGGTTGTCCTGAGCACAAAGACCACCGAAACGGCTTGAGCGACGAACAGGTAAATGCCAAAACTTTAACACACAAACTTATTTCTTATGAGTAAATTTTTATATGGAGAAAATGGCTGTCTGCAAGGGGTGGCATAACCTGGGGGACCAAATTGTCACTCAAAAAAAAAGAAAAAATATCAGATTGACTGGATTCCTATGAAGTTTTATTTTTGCTTAATTGCATGAATGGAAGAACAATTTCGCTATCTTTAAAAAACAAATATTTAACATAATTAAATATTTGGAATGCCTGACACTATAGCTTGGATTTATATATTAATAATTAAAGCTGCAGTCTGTAATTTTAATATACATCATGTATCATGATGACATAAAACAGATAATCTGTGAAAACAAGATCCCATGCCTTCCCCCAGAGCTCCCTGTACTACATGCATTAGACGAAAGCTTTTCTCTGATCGATTAAAAATTTTAAAAAGTTGGAAACATTCTTATCTGGACCAATGTTAACCTCAATGTTGTCCAGGTCCCTCCTTTTCTCAACGCCTACCAGTTAGCAGTAAATATATGTTTACGTCGCTGGCCTCTGCGTAAAGGAGCATATAATTGACCTATTTCTAACAAGTGAGCCCTCAGGGACCCAGCAGCATTCTTCAAGTTTAAAGGAGTCGGGTAACATATAACCTTTCAATGAATTCTGTCGATTAGTTGGTCATTAATTATGGATGGGGAGCAGAGGGGGAGAGCGGGTCTGCGGGCTTTTTGCGGACCAGTGGGTCTACCTTCAGTTCCGGCATGCTGCCAATCAGCTCGTATGGTAGCTTCACATCTGGGTGGTTGGTGTAGTCAAGAGGAACGAGCTGCGGTGCCAAATCCCGATAGCGGTAGAACAGTCTAGGAAGGTCCAAAACATTCACTTTCAGTGTTGGATTACAAATCATCTTTTAAATTAGAAGGCATACATTGTTAAACAGTTGTTGCTAATAATAGAAAAGGCTTCTTAATGAGCATAAATCATTGAGAACATTCACATATAAGCATTTGAAAATGAAAAGGTCAAACTTGAACTAAATGGGATTTGAGAGGAAGTCTGACCCACAGCATGACGGGTCAAATCAATGAGGACTTCGTTTAGATTTACTGGAAAGGAATCCGTAGAAAACAAGGGATTTTGACAAAAAACCTTTTCATGAAATGCATTTGCATTTATTGCAGTGGTATAAAATCTCATTGAAACAGTTCAGCTCTTCCAGTCTTATTCGTCACAGTCATAATTAAAAAAATAAAATAAATAGAAATAAAAAATAAAAGCCAATGGTGCTGTATATATTTTATGCTCACCTGAGAATTTCTTTTCTGGTGAAATATGTACAGTCCTGCAAATACAAGAAATTACATTGGGCATATTAATAAAACGGTGTTTTATTAATATTCTTTTTTTTTTTTTTGTCCCACTTAAACATTTCAGATCCTCCAAACAATTTTAATATCAAAAATCAAAACCTGAATAAATACATACAGCAGATTTCAAATGTGACTTTATTTGTTAGGAGGGAAAAGCTATCAAACTGTATCTTAAATTGTAAATAAATTAAGATAAAACCACATTTTTGGCTCAGTTTCACGAATCACATCAGCTCTCACTATTGCACGCCCTGCAAAATTATAAAATCACCTGAGCTGAACTTGTCTGGCAGCATGAAGCTGGTTAAAATGGTGCAAAAAGCAAAACAACACACCTTTACCTGAGTAGATGTAAGAAAGGGGAAGAGCCGAAACATTTTGGAAAGGGTTAGAAAGCCAGTTCTGGTGTTTCCAGACTGAGAGGCATGATCACTAAAGGGAGAACAGTAATGAACCTTCCCAAATTGGCCACCAAATCCAAAATTATTAAACAGTCATTTGTTTCAGTTAAGGTCAGAGGTCATGATTGAAGAGTAAAAAAGCAAGATGGGTGAAAAATAGGCATTTAGAGAGACTGCTGATCATAAAAATCACAGTTTCAAAAAAAAAAAACATCTTGATATCCAAGAGATTTGGAAAAATCCCCAAAATGTTTGGATTGAGTACAAAAAAGAGGAAAAAAAAAACAAAAAAAAAAACTTATCATTTAAGAAAGTGTGAGAGTCTGGGGATGTTTTCCTGTTTCAGGATCAATAAATTTTGCTCTCACTATATATACTTTCTATCATTATAATCATTTTAGGATAAAAAAACCAAAATAGTTGGTCTGCTCTGTTTTATTCTTCTTTATTTAAAGAAGAATAAAAAACATCATCATGCCAGTTATTGTTAAAATCAGTTTGACAATCTGAAACATTTAAGAAATCTGAAAACCATTGTACAAAAAATATAATAATAGCAATTATTATTATTATCATTATTATAATTAATAATAATAAATGAAATATAATTTTTTATTATCAACAATTTTTGTCTGAATTTAAAACTATTTTTTAAAATGTAACATACGTTGACGGTATGTTGTTTTTTTTAAATTATTGGTTTCAGTGGATTACAGTAAATCAAATCAATAAACACCCTCAGGGTACATTTGCGCTGCATTCTGTGGCCCTGGCTGGTTCTTACTTTCCCAATAAAGAATAAATTAAGAACAAATGTAATCTGCTTCACCGCTAAAGTTGCAAACGTCGAGTTGATGCTCCAGTTTTCATAGAAAACGGGATTGATGCCGACCTGATATGCGTCGAGCTGCTGCGCTGTGAAGATGGTTTGTTTATTCCCCATGTCTGAGCTTTCAAGCTCGGAAAGCACAGATCCATCGCGGCTCCAGCACCGAGCGAATGCTTTTTATTGGGGTGGCCCAGTCAGATATGAAATACCGAGACAAAAGGAGGCCAGAGCCAAAGAGGAGATCGGGTGTCGGGCCGCAGCCGGGCCCTTTGCTTGCCACCATAATGGCAGCATTTCATCGTTTGCTCCATTGTGAATAGCGGCCCCTCTGATAATGAATGAGGGCTGTCGTCCAGCATCATGCCAGGTGGTTTCAACCCCCTTTCGTGCCACTCTATGGCCAACGCCTCGCTCGCTGATCGGGTTACGTTCTTTACAGACGAGGTTTTGTAACGCACTGAAAGAAACTTTGATGGCTGACGACAACATGGCTGATGTTTTGTTCCAGCTGCAAACTCACCGTGAACCTTTTCACATTTCATCATGTTGCAGCCTCAAAGTTTTACTGCGATTTTAGATTATGCAAAGTGGGACAGAGTTTATATGCAGCTCTGGAGAAAATGAAGAGCCCACTGCAATGAAACCCATTGAAGGCCTCATAGTTATTCCACCAAATATTCATTTCTGAACTCTTCCTGAGTTAAAATATTAATATTGTTGTTTCTAAATGAATATGAACTTGTTTTCTTTGCACCTTTTTCATTATTTTGACCATTTCTCATTTTCTGCAAATAAATACTAGATTTTTGCTTGGAATTTCGGAAACATGTTGTCAGTAGTTGATAGAATAAGATAATAATGTTCATTTTACTCAAAAACATACCTATAAAACGTAAAACAAGAGAAACTGGTCTCTGCAGCTCCTCCTAAGTTACCAGAATCTCTTGACTGCTTCCCTAATGTACAAGAGATTCACAATCATACCAGCACCGCCTCCTGGAATAATACAAGAAATGGGTCATGGACTGCAGCCCTCCTCATCTCCAGTTGAATGAAACTGATGGATAAGAACTACCACCTTATTCAGTTTGAAGGTAACTGGTAGCAAACATCTCTTATTTTCTCATAATGACACTTACTGATAGTCAAATCAAGCCCTGTAGTGATTAATTAGGCAAATAACTAAATACAAGTGAATATAAAAACTAAACCTTGACCGTTTGTCAAGAATGTTGTTTTAACCTAATATATTAACCTAATATACTTCCTAATATATCAGGAAGTAATCTGGCTGACGGTTTAAACTCACGACTCCGCTCTAATGGCTCAGGCTCCATGTTAACAACTCAAACTCAACTCAGTTAAATTAAAATAGCAATGATAAACATCTAATCATTTCCAGATCAATAAGTGAAGGTAGTTATGCTGGATTTTGTGTGTGTACATTTCATCGGTGGCTGGGTATATGTTTGAAATCTTAATGTTCTGAAATCATCTTGATCTCAAGTAGAAAAGTTCAAGTAAGCTTAAAGTGATACCATTTAAAAAAAAGCAATTTATTCTTCATAAAAAAATAAGAAACAGAAAAACATAACATTTTCATATTTATACATTTTTGTGGTCATCTCTTCCAACAGTCATATATTATAATTTATGTGTCTATTTACATATCTTACAGTGTTATTTGTAGATCTCAGCACATTTACTCACAAGTGAACACCGAAAGGGCAACAAGATAAAGTAAAACTTAAATCTGACGTGGTCAGTGACAGCCGCAGCTTCCAGCCACCATGTCGTTGTACTGCTTCAACACAACATTCTCATCGTCATCAAAGTACAGCAGGTTGATGGAAAACAGCTGTTCGGGCACGCAGCACGGCGTTTCGATGCCTTGGATCAGCTTCAGGGCGTTGATGATGGACTGGACGGTGGCGTGGTTGGTCGGCCTCATGTTCTGACCCAGGGGGAAGGAGCAGGACCCTTTGCAGTGATAAGCGTTGTAGCCACGAGGAGACACGATCCAGCCCGACCAGCCAATCTCCTCGAAGTCTACATACAGAGGCAGGCGCTGGCAGGGCTTGGACCGCAATTCCTTCTCGCTGTAGTCCAGGGAGCGAGCCGTGCGGAAGGATTTGACTGGGGTTTGGGAGAGGAAGGAGGTGGCAATGGCCTCGTGGGGATCTGTAAGAGAAATAAACGGTTCCTTAGATTAGCAAACAGGATCGGATATTTGTAAAATAGTGACAGTAAACCTTTACGAGAACCAAATACAATTTAAAAAGGAATTTTGGAAAGTGTGCTAGCTAATCCAGTGCCCAAGAAACCAACCACCACAAGTCTTAATGACTTTCGACTCGTTGCTTTAACATCTATCATCATGAAGTGCTTCGAGAGAGTGGTTAAGGGTCATATAATCGCTATACTGCCTCCATCATTTGACTCTTTCCAGTTTGCATACAGATCTAACCGCTCGACTGAGGATGCCATCTCCTCTGCTCTTCATCTGAGCCCGGTACACCTGGAGAAAAGAAACCCCCACATACGAATGCTGTATTGGACTTCAGCTCAGCATTCAATACGGCCATCCCTCAGGACTTGGTATGCAAACTGGTCCCCCTGGGCTTCAATGCTCCACTGTGCAACTGGCTGCTGGACTTTAAACACTGGCTACCCAGAGGGCTGTGTCCTGAGCACCGTGCTGTTTACCCTGATGACCCACAACTGTCGTCCCAGGTTTAACACCAACCTCATCATGAAATATGCAGGTGACACAACAATTATGGGACTCATTCAGGACAATAATGAAGGGAACTACAGAAAACAAGTACAACATCTTGTGGACTGGTGCAGAATATACAACCTGCTCCTGAACGTCGACAAGACAAAAGAGATCATTGTCGACCTCAGGAGGTCTCGACCCAACCACACACCACTTCTTATCAATGACGAAGCAGTGGAGATCGTCAGCAGCAATAAGTTACTGGGGGTTCACATTACAGACAACCTAAGCTGGACAATTCACATCACTTCACCGGTGAAAAAGGCACAGCAGCGCCTGCACTTTCTGAGATGAAGTCTCTGCGAAGAGTGGTGAAGACAGTGGAGAGGATCATTGGGGCGCCACTTCCCCCATCCAAAGCATTGCACACAGACACTGCTTAGCCAGAGCAAACCAGATCCTTTCTGATTGAACCTATCCTCTCCATAATCTGTTCATCCGCTTGCTGTCTGGGAGGAGAGTCCGTAGCATCTGCCGCAGAACAGCCAGACTCAGAAATATGGGTCTCCGACTGGCCATCAAATTGCTCAACAATCCCATCATAAAAACTGTCAGAGACTGAAAATTGTAATTATTTACTATTATTTAATATTAAATAATATTATTTGCATATTATTTAATTATAAGCACCCTTGTATTTCTGTGTGTGCACCGGTGACCAAGCAAGGACATTTCATTGCCAATTTTACTTATGTTACTTTGTGCAATGACAATAAAAATAAGTCTAAGTCTAGTCTAATGTTAGCTACTTATATTTAATCTTCAGCAGTGGTTAAATTCTAATATTTACTATGTTTTTTGGTAAGAAATTGTACTGAAACACAAGAATTTAATTGAATATGCAAGTTCAGTCAATTGGTAGCCAATATTCTCAGGTTGTATGAATGACTGTCTCAACTTAGTAGAAGTTTTAAAACTGTTGACTGGTGGTCAAAATTAAGTTTGTATCCAGCGTTAGCTAGAATGGACAGGGCTAAAGCTAAAGTTAAAGCTACCAGTTAGTTTAAGTTCTTAAATTTGAGTCAGTTACTACTGAGCAACATATTTAAACTGTGGCTTTTGGGGAAACAGTTTATATGTATCAACATACGATAATGAATTTCAAAAGCTTAACCTTTCACTTTAGCAATTTTAGCAACAAGGTTAAATGTAAGCTTGTCATCTAGCTAATCTTCCTCAGCCAGAGGTTTCATTACAGCATATTTACACTGTGGTTTACATATGAGCCTCTTAGAATAGATTTACAATGTTTAAGCTTTAGCTAGCTTAGCAACAGAGCTAATGTTAAAGTTGAATCTACAAGTTAACTTATTCTGAGGCAGTCAATACTAATAAAAACCATAAGGAAACTTATATCAGGGAAACAGTTCACATGTCAACATATTACAATGAATTTAAAATGTTTAAACTTTAGCTTAAACTTGCAGCTAGTTCCGTTTTTAGCAACACAGCACAAATGCTAAAGTTGAACCTACAAGCTAGCTAATTTTAAGGCTGCTGATACTAATGAAAATTATATGTAAACTGTGGTTTTCAGGCAAACAGTTCATAAGTCAGTGTCTTAGAATAGATTTAAAAAGTTTAACCTTTAGCTAGCTTAGCAAGACAGCTGATGCTAATCTCAAACTTGCTAGGAACCTTGTTTCGTTTCCTGCTATAAAATAAACTATTCTATAGTCAACAGAAAAGTTAGAATCGAGCTCCTTTATTTGAGTAAGTAAAACAATTATTTTGAGTAGAAATATCAAATTTTTTATAGTAGGAATATTTAAAACATTTTTTTATTCAAACTTACAAATTTAAGTGGCTTAACTGCCTAACAGCCAAATTATTTTCTGAGATTTTGATTAAAATACCACCCAAATAAAATAAAAATGTTTTCAAATTGCTACTTCGGTTTTCTCTTTGTTTTATCAGTTTAGGCCAGCACTAAACATCCAGGATTATATTTTACTGTGCATTCCGATTTGATGAATGACATTAAAACTGAGGCAAATCTCACTTATGCTCCCGAGAGCCGCAGAGCGGCGGCCGTCGTCGGTGAAAAGCACGAGCATGGACTGTTTGCTCGGGTGGTGGTGGCGCCCTGAAGCAAAGCGGATCAGTTTCAAGTCCGTCTGGCTTCCTTCCAGAGTCCTAACCACCACATGGAGCCCCAGGTTGCTGCCTTCATCTGCCATCCAGGAGCGGACCTTCAGGACATCACAGATTTTATACACCGTCCAGCGTTTTGCTGGGACTCAGATTATTTAGGCATTGAGAAATACTTACAGCTTGTGTGACGGTGAATACTTCCCAACCAGCTGAGTGGACCGGGATGAGTCGAGAAGACAGCAACTTCTTCGCCTGCGTGCTGTTAGTTTTTCTGATATCCAAAAGCTGATAAACACTGACCTGAGTAATATAGAGAATAAAAGTAGAAATTAACTGAGAGAAAATGTACTTAGGGCCGCCACACCACCAAGGCCAACCAAGAATAATAAAAATAAATATTTAAAATAATAATAATAAATGCTATTTCCATATTATTAACAGAGATGCCACAAAATAATCTCTTCCTGTTGATGGCTGCTGTCACTTTTACAGATAAGATATCAATCTTGTAATCTTGTTTCCTGTAAATTTAATATTTAAAGTAATATGACACATTTAAACCATTCTGCATTTTCTTCTAAATAAAAAACATACTTGTTGCTTATTATGATTTCTATTTTAATTAAACCAGTTTAATTAAGATAGTTTATGTTTAGTTTGAGGTTAAAAAAAATCACAAAAATATTTTGATTTTAGTTTTAAAAATTATACATATTGTCAGCTCAACAGTACAGTTGTCAGTACTGTTGAACTGACAACTGTGGCCCACGTGACAAAAAAGTTTGGACACCCCTGACCTAGTCAAAGTCCAGACATAGATCCAGTTGAAAATCTGTGCCAGAAATTGAACATTGATCTTTACAGATGCTTCTTCACCAGGAAAAGTAAGTCCATTCTGCGTTGGGTCAGCTCTGCATGCGGTTATTGCTTAAAGGGCTGAACATACCTGGCAGAAGTGATGTCTGCTGTACGTGAGGGATCCCTGAGGACGCAGCTTGAAAAGATGCAGCTCTGCAGTGAGGACCTTCTCACTCCTTGCCACTGTTGACAAATTGAACTTGAACTCCACCTGCTCACTGCGCACTGCAATTCAAAACCACTATTAGAGACAACGCCGTCCATTTAACCTCTGCACACATGCTTTAAAAACATCTCACATTTGTCAAAGAAGCTGCGCACAGTGTTGCCCTCCAGCAGGTAGGGATCTTTGGTCACGCCGTCCACGTCGGCCACCGTGTTGTACAGATCGAGCATGTACTGCGGAGGCTGTTTGTGAGCGTGGACAGCAGGAGGGTCCTCCATCCCGAAGACCTCCAGAAGCCTCTTGATGGCGGCAGAGCGGACCTCCTCTGACTTGCCCTCTGAGGAGAAGCGGTTCTCCCGGCCGCTGAGCGCAGGCCACGCTGCGGTGACGCACAGCAGAGAGGCAAAACTGAGCGGACACGCGAACATCGTCGGAACCTGAGGAAGTTTCGCAACCTGGAGCTGGAGTGAGGACATACTCTGAAGGCGCCGAGGCTTTTATATCAAACCACCCAGCTCCCCTCTGCAGCCTCGGCAAACAGCAGTAAAGATGTTATTTGGTCGCAAATGTAAATCACCAATCAGCGAATGGAAAGGGAGACTAATGGCGGTACTACCAAAGTGCGAACACCGAATCAAGTGGGCTCGACTTTTATTTAAGCCCACTGCCTTCGCAATGAAGGCCCAAATAAACCATAGAATGCTTTTGCAAAACGGGAAACTTATTCTTGCAGTCGCCGATGAAAAAATGTGATTTTTGACCTCATAAAGTGCAAACTAATTAAAGTTTGGACATGATAGGTGCGGACACGCAATCTGTGGGTGGCCAATTGCGCATAACAGAATCCATTAAGTTGGAATAAAAGCCGCATTGTTTTAGGTGGAAACCAATTACCTGCATAAAGCTACTGGTGTCACCGGTGACACTTGGAAATGTTTACATGACTGCCCACTGAGCTCCAGCAGGACAATCACCAGGCTGAAGCTGGTACCTGATTCGCTTCAAGACAGGATTAAAGGGACATTCCGCTGCATTTCACTATTAGTGAATACTTGAAATGGTCAGATAGAAATGGTCTCACACTAATGAAATACTGTGAGAAGATGTTTTTAAGAAGTCATTTAATAAAAAATAAAACTGACTTGTGATATTGTCTATAAATCACAGTTTGTAGTTTTTAAACCCTTTATTCGCTGTGTAAAAAAAAAAACCTGAAAAAGTTCTCTTTTATAGATTTTTTCTTTGCCACATTTGATGGGATGGAGAGCAAAACCTAGAGAGGTCAATCCAGGACATTATTAATCTACACTAATGTCAGATTATGGAAAATACAGTTTGCAAATTGTAAAAGCAATTATTCAGTTTATAAAAAGTCAAAAAGGGCTGATTACCAGCCTAGATAGATAGATAGATAGATAGATAGATAGATAGATAGATAGATAGATAGATAGATAGATAGATAGATAGATAGATAGATAGATAGATAGATAGATAGATAGATAGATAGATAGATAGATAGATAGATAGATAGATAGATAGATAGATAGATAGATAGATAGATAGATAGATAGATAGATAGATAGATAGATAGATAGATAGATAGATAGATAGATAGATAGATAGATAGATAGATAGATAGATAGATAGATAGATAGATAGATAGATAGATAGATAGATAGATAGATAGATAGATAGATAGATAGATAGATAGATAGATAGATAGATAGATAGATAGATAGATAGATAGATAGATAGATAGATAGATAGATAGATAGATGATAGATAGATAGATAGATAGATAGATAGATAGATAGATAGATAGATAGATAGATAGATAGATAGATAGATAGATAGATAGATAGATAGATAGATAGATAGATAGATAGATAGATAGATAGATAGTAGATAGATAGATAGATAGATAGATAGATAGATAGATAGATAGATAGATAGATAGATAGATAGATAGATAGATAGATAGATAGATAGATAGATAGATAGATAGATAGATAGATAGATAGATAGATAGATAGATAGATAGATAGATAGATAGATAGATAGATAGATAGATAGATAGATAGATAGATAGATAGATAGATAGATAGATAGATAGATAGATAGATAGATAGATAGATAGATAGATAGATAGATAGATAGATAGATAGATAGATAGATAGATAGATAGATAGATAGATAGATAGATAGATAGATAGATAGATAGATAGATAGATAGATAGATAGATAGATAGATAGATAGATAGATACACCAAGGTTGGTAATCTGCCTCTGTTGCTGTAACAAACATTGAAGAGATCAAAGCTTTAGTTCACTGCATGACACCTTGCAGACAAGTCATAAAACCTTTTACTGTTGTAGAGGCAGAAAACTATGACAGAGGTGTTGTTTCACAAGTCTGCATCAAAATGAGGAGGAAGTAATGGTTTGCATGTGTTTGTCCAGAGAAACACTCACAGTTTAGTCTTTGTTTTTCCAATAAATATCCATTAGAAATCATATATTGAAGAGTTAGTTTAGTGAAAATGATTTAATTGTTGGTTTTTAATCAAACTTGATGGTCACAGCTGGACTTTCACTAATATTTAAGCTCTGTATTTGATAAAATCCTTAAATATAGTCAGAGAACTATACCTTGAACAGTTGTGGTTTAGATCCTAAAATATCAGATTTGTTTCCTTTTAATTAAATGCGTAGACATTAACAACTCCTACATCTTCAGCCTACAAACACATGATTGTGTGCATTGTCTTCATTGTACAAAATATTATGAGCAAAAAGTCTTAATCCTGAAATTATTATTATTTTTTTGTTAAAAATACCACCTCTAATAAAGAAGCTGCAGCACATTTTTCTCTTTTGTGCAATATAATCCTTAGAATAAAGAAAAAATACTAATTAGCTAAAACATGACCAGGCAAGTGAGAGATCAAACAAAGCCAGAAGCTGATTTTTCAGCCAGAAAAAGCCTGGCTGCTGCATCTCTAAATCAGAATGATTTGTATTCGGTTAGTTTGAATTCTTCACATGACAAAAATAAAATAATATAAAAAAAAACACAAATGCATACTGATACAGCCTTTTACATTCCAGAGTCAAATAATAACATTCAATTTATTATTTTGTTTTATTCATTCTATTTACAAAATTATCACATATACATATATTACATATAAGACAAGATAACCTTAACGTTTTGACAAGAGTTTGGTCAATCAGGAGGCTGTGGAAGCTGCTTTTCCAGCAGAGGGCGCTGTGCTCAGTTTTGGCAGCGGCAGGAGGTGATGGAGAGGAGAGTATGAAGCAGCTCATGCTGGTTGATGTAGCTGTGGCTCTCGTATCCCTGAGGAACGCAGGAGCTGGGCTGTCTGTCTGACCACAGCAGGCAGTTTTCCAGATCAGATGGATTCCTGCAGCGGCAGAAAAAGAGGAAAACATTAGTGAAAAGATCCAAGTCAACATGTAAAGTGGAAATAAAGCCTCACTGCAAAAACTCTATATCTTACCAAGTATTTATAAATCTGGTTTCTAGTGAAAATGCAACAGTACATTTGAAATAAGACAAGACTAACTTACAAGTAACTTTCCAGCAAGAGGTAGGAGCTTGTTTTTAGTAAATAATTCTTTAATATTGATCAAAAAGTGCTTGTAACATTTTCAGTGAAATAATCTGCCTGTGCAACTGGTATTTTTTCATCAATCTTAAGAAATTATTTGCTAAAAACAAGCTCCTCAACGTGTGTTTTTGCAGTGCAGTAACAGCCATCGGCAACAGCAACCCATAAGTGATTATAATATAAATTACTTTATAACATCAATGTCACAAATTGTTTTTGTTGTATTAATGTTTTCCTTTATGTAGGTGCAGAGTATCTTTTAAAAAAAATTCACAATCAATGTTTAAACTATGCTATATATTTGCGAAACATTCTGCAAATAAACGGCATTTCCTCTTATGCAGATGCTAAATAAGATTCGGTATTTAATGTCTGTAATCTGATAACAAGACTGGAGAGCTGAAAAGAGCATTTGGTGTTAGAATCAAAATGCATCCCGCTTGCAGAAGGTGTCAAAACTTACAGGTTGTTGTTACAACTGGGGGATGGCAGAGGAGGTGTATGTGTGTGTGTGTGTGTGTGTGTGTGTGTGTGTGTGTGTGTTTGTGTTCATACTGACCTGAGAAGGCATCGGTTTCCTGTTGTGCAACCTCCCAAACATCTGCCCACATCTACTTCCTGTAGAAAATTAGCAACACAGAGAGACAGAGAGAGAGAGGAATTCAGCACAGAGCTGGCCGCAAATATTGACCCACTTTGAGCCGAGGAGCAGCTGCCGCTTGGAGAGTTAAAGGTGTTTTCATTCGACACCTGCAGCCGCCATTTGTTTTTACTAGCTCCAATCTCCCATTTGGTGCAGAGAATCATCAGAAAACCAAAACCAAAACTGAAGAAAACAGAAAACTCAATAAGTTATTGATTTCTCGTTTCGCTAAATGTAGTTGTTTTGTAGCTTACTTAATAAAATAATACCTTTTTTTTATTTGGATTTTAATGTTTTTGTTTTCAGCCCTGTTTTTCCAGGAAGCAGAGCAGATCAATGTTTGGTCAGATAAACTTAGGAAGTACTAATCAATCAACAAGCCAATATCAATTGATGCAGCACTTTTCATATAACATTAGTTTAAAATCAGACCCCAAACAAATGACTCTCTAAAATAAAAAGGGAAAACTAATACGTATGTATTTCTATGTTTTGCTAAAATACAACTAATAATTTTAAAAATAATAATATGCATTCCATAGAAAAATTCACTGACCATATTATTACACAATTTTACATTTCAAAACAAAATTTGCTTAATGGAAACAAGTCAATTAAAAAAAAACTTCAACTAAAAGTTTTTTATTTACCAAAATTGAAACAAAAAGCATCGAACGATTCACGTAAAAACACAAAGAAGAACGACAGGAAGTGTAGGATGAGCTTTTTAATCACTTGTTACGTGAATAAACTTGTTCATGTGTGACTCTAATTGCATCTTTTTATCATTTTTTTTTACATTATTGGAATATTAACAATGTTTTTCACACTTTTGTAATGGAAACTCAATGCAGTCTGCTGGGTTTCCTTAAATAGAAACTTCTTAAACCACTTTGAATAATTGATTCAGATTATTATTTTGTTTGATAACCAGGATCAGTTGGAATGTGTATATTTTGGTTTTTGTGAAGCGTCTCTGTTCTGAATTGTCATTACATAATGTCTCTTTTCCAAATCCAAATCGCTACTAAATGTTATTTGGTAGCGATTTGGTTCTGCAGAGTGCAACACGCGGTGCTGTTTTTCACACTCGGATGTGCGGTGCCAGCCTCCGAATTGGCCTGATTAAACACCGACTTCCACTTTTGAGTCTGGTGC